TTACAGGGTATATTAACTTGGGACTTTTAAACCTCTTCCTGAGTCTTCAGACAGGTGCTCCTGACCTAGTCTCAGAGGATTTAAAATGAAYGTGCTTACCTTGTATGCTGAGTATCACTGTAAGCCATCCAGTTTTTGCCACTGTGGCCCAGGCCACCTAAACATTGAACTTTATGATTCTTTTCCAGGAGAGCATTCTGATTTCGAACTATTGCACTTAGAAGAATGGTGGGTCCCTCATTAGAAATTTATTTAGTTGGAAGAGTATRTGATTTCAAATTTGCTGACAGAGCCTTTTATGAAAGATAACTCTCCTTTTATGCCTCTGGTTAATCAGAAATGAGAATGTCAAATGAGGCCAGTTTGTTATTGGGCTTAATGAGAAGTCAATAGTGTAGGGCTCTTTAAAATGGTACATAGAGAACAATTGAAGGTTATTGATCAAAGCAAGAAAATGTAGAATCTATCAGGCAATATTGTGTGCAGTGGGTAAAGGGTTAAGAGAGGAGAGAAGTCCTTCAAAGAGACAGTGGGGATCTGTACAGGGTGGTGGAGGTAAAAATATATGAGCACTTGATGAGTGTATAAACTGAGACAGAGTGGAGAAGTCTTATATGTCAGAAAAAATAAACACAATACTAAGTCATTTAGTGTGTTGACCAGGGAGGAGGGGTGGACAGTAGTTACATGTTCTTGAGGACAGAATAGAAAAGGGCAGCCCCCGCTGGGGCTTTGTCATTAATGCAACTGCACCTCCCAACTGCATAGCCCTCTCAGAGAAAAAGCCAGAGGAGGGCACARTAGAGCCATATATATTTCATTCCATTCCTTTCCAGTTGTATGGGAATCTATCTAAGAAGTTAAGGAAGGGAAACAAATCTCTAGAATTCTGTTGCTTTGGTAATTATTACTATTCATCTTTTTTTTTTTTTAACTTTCTAATTGGTAGAAAACACTTAGGTAGCTTGTGATTTCTATTCCTACTGCTCCATTGAATGCTGTTCTTTTTCTTTTAGGATTTGGTGGCCTGTATTAGTGACTCTCATGTCACTTAGCTCAAAAGCAAAGGCCCCGTCGTTCTTGCCCTGACATTCTTGCCATAACTCAGCCAGAGTCATAGTATTCTCAACAAATATCAAATGAACCACCATTAACGAAAAGCTCTATGCATTTCCAGCTGTTTTAGTCAATGGACTGAAATGTGCGTGATTTAAATAGCAACTTGACAAGTTGTACACCTCTTTTGAGTTTACCTGTGACAGGAAGTTTTGAAAACTTACTTTATTCCCTTGCATATGAAATTGATATTTTTGAAGATAGGATGCTCTCAAGCATTTGCTTACAAATGACCCAATATTAACCAGCCTTCTGAGATCCATTCTAACAACCACATTCAGACTAACTTTATGAATTCTAGCATTATAACTAAAAGAGGGAAGGATAAATATTGATCAGTCAAGAGAACTGTTATTTCTTTGGGTRGGTGATATTGAACATATTGCACCCATTTATATAATTATTTTTTGTAGAGACTAAATTTGAAATAATACTTTTAAATTTTCATTCACTTGATTGAGCGAAGCAGATACACTTTTAGAAATTATTTCACAGTGATGTTAATCTTTATATAAAGATTTAAACTAGTTAGAGGAAAAGTTTTACGATAGTGCCTTCTCAGCTTGGTGGCTGTGAGCAGCCCTTGGGTTTTCAAAAGAGAGACCTGAGGTCTTAGTGGAAGAATAGAGTTGAAGGGACCAAAGCTTGGATGAGCCTTGTACACACTGTACTCACATTAAATCAAAATGCTGTCAGTGCAGTTTTTAATGACGTATGAAGTTTCTCACCATCTACAAAGCTCAGGAATGAGGATTATAAACTGATGTGACCAGAAATGAGAGGAATTAAAAACCCTCAGTCTCTACTTGCATATCTACCTAAAAAGCATATCATTTAGTCCCTCGAAGCTTTAAAGCAGGTGCACTCCTTTCTTGTTGGTTTATGTTCACTTGGACACACTGAAAAATCTCTTGAAATGGTTACTCCCTTGATGATCTTTCTAGATGTTCCAGACACCTTTTTGCTCTTAGAATATTGGTCAAATTTAAGAAACCTTAATCCTGCAGAACCATCTGGAGAGTTGAGCTATATTTTCCCTGCTGTGACCTCATGTAACCTTTGAATTCTCACATTCTTTGCTTTTTTATGAATTTRGTGTTCCGTGAGGCATCCATCAGCAGCACTCTGTATGCTCTCAAGTGCTATCCTGTTTCGTTGTGTACTTTTCTTTGCCTGTGACCCAGAGGGGGCAGAATTTTAAAAATGGTACATCTGTTGTTCTTCTATTTTTAAAAATTCATGATCATCACTCTCACCATGATTCRTCTTATATTAATGTATACATCTCACTACTTTTGATTTGRTTTTAAAATTATTTCTATTTTGATTTCCATTATGATTCTTCATTTCCTCTTCCTGTCACTATCAACACTGTAGGAATGAGGCTGATAATCTGCACACATAGAACTAAGTTTAAATAGGTCACCCAGGCAGCCGTCAATAAGCCAATGGGAGGAGTCAGTTGCCCTCTGTATGTGACATCCAGCGACCAGCTCCTGATGGTGGGCAGAGTTGATCAGCTTTGACTCTGGAGCATAGGTTGGTTTAGATTTATGCTTGTTTGAGAATTGAAAGCTCTCCTGTGATTCTCAAGCTGGTTTCCAGTTAATGTTCCTTGCTAGACAGCAGTTTCAGTGAGGAATTTATAAAGTACTTTAGCTTGCTGCAGATAATATGCCCCAAAATGGCTCTGTCACCTTCTTTCTTGTTCTTCAACTAATATTCCTTTCTGAATTTATATTGATGGCAAATGAATTCTTTTCTCCAGAGTCTTTCTCTCTTTCACCATCCTTTTATATATTTTTTGATTCCTCTCTTTGCAAACAAGGAGGTGTACATTTAAAGCTTGAGTTATTCTCCTTCAGTTTTGTATTTTCTAGGGCATTACAACAGTACTTGCCAACATCTTTATCTGATTTTTCTATTGCCATTTTAATTCTTTTTTTTTTTGGCAATACTGGTGTCAAGAAAATAAGCATAGAGGTTTGCACCACCACTGAGTTGCATCCCCAGCCTTTTTTGTTTTTTATTTTGAGATGGGGTCCTCCATAAATTGCTTATGCTGGCCTCAAACTTGTGGTCTTCCTGCCTCAGCCTCCTGAGTGACTGGGATTACAGGCGTATGCCACCACCGTGCACAGCACCCCTCCCCACTTTTTTTACTCTTATAAATTTACAAGTCCTTATTTTCAGTCTTTGATTAAAGGGAACTCATGATTAAGGAGAAACTATTCTGTAGATGTAATATATTACATTGACTGCTATAGCCCCTATGAATTCCTAATGTCAGAAAATTAGGATGGCTTATTTCTGATAGTTCCTGAATCTTGCTTTAGATAAGAAATGTAGGTTATATATCATCTAAGTCTGTAGGAAAAGAATTTTAAAAACCATATGAGTACTTTTCACTCAGATTGTTTAAATTTCTAAGGAACAYTTATTTATTACCTTCAGCATCTATATGGCTTACATTTTCCTGGCAATTTTAGTGAATTGGCTAAAAAGCCCCAGAGAATTTAGAACATAGGCTATTGAGAGAATTTTTTTCTTCTCAGTAATATTCATGCATTTGACCTTCGTCTGACAAAGGTATTTATCATTGACCCTTCCAAGCCATTCATTAGTATGTGTGAACTTTGCTCAGCTACTTCTTATAAACTGAGGCATGCTGGATTGCTTGAGGGTGATAAGCTGAGTAAACACTTCTAAAAATGTTGATGATAACTGAAGGGCTTATGTGTGGCAGAATGCTGCTACCCCTAAGACAGAACAGACAAACTACAAATCACATCTAATATATGCTCCAAGCAGTAGTGGCTTATGGCTTACACTGGGAGTCTACTGGCATTTATTATCCAAACTTGTGAAGACAGTAATGTCTGTTTTCAAATAGTTATATTTTTACCAGTTCTTGTTTTTCATTTTAGTCCCAGGATAGCAAAAAATTATGTGGGAATTAAGTAAGAGAGCCTTTATCCAAACCCTGGTTCTGCAAATGTTTATCTTTCAACCTTATGTAAGTGTAGTATTCTCTCTTATCTCCAATTTCTTCATCTGTAAAATAGAAGAAATATTACTATTTTCTCTCTTGTTAAAAAAATATATGACATTAGTGAATGTTAACCTAGGAAAACATAAAAATTAAAAATTTGCTTTTTTTTATTGTTTTGTCAAAAACCCCTTCTTTCTATTGTCTGCCCTTATCCACTCCCAGCATAAGCCCAGACTGCTTAAGCCAAACTTCTGGCCAACCCAGAGGCAGGGGAACCCAATGGTGGAGTCTTTGCTACCTAAGATGTGCCCTGCTGGACTGGCTCCTACCTGTCTGTAGTTGTCATACCTCAGTGATAATAAGTTTACTTCACTACCTCAGGCCAAGGGGAGCCGGCCTAAATATTCACCTTCATGGGTTCCAACTCCTGCCTGCCTTCTCTCACTGACTGTATGACTCATGTTCTCTGAGCCTCAGTTTTCTCACATAAAAGGTGAGGATGGTACTACTTCCTCAGAGTTTTATGTCTTGATTTGTCCAGGCAAGTGGTATCTGTGAAGGGCCAAAGTTCATCAATGGTATATATGGATATCCATGTTAATTAATGATATGTGCTATTTGGACATTTTACATCCCGTGGCACAAATTTCTAGGTAGAGAAGATATTACTAAATGTTCCTATGATAATTAAATTTACTTTCATAAAAGGGAAGTTTTGAGATTCTCCAAAGTGTGTAACCTATAAAGATCATTGACTTTCTCCTTATTTATAATGAAGCAAATGATACATGTCATGTATTTTGCTTTCCCTGAACTCACAGACTTTCTCCCTCTGCCTCCCCACCTGTCTCTCTCTCTCTGTGTCTTTCTGCCCGTTTTGCTTTTAGCACAGACGGATACTGTTTCACAATGATAGAGGAAGACGACTCGGGGATGCCTGTGGTCACTTCTGGATGCCTAGGACTAGAAGGTTCAGATTTTCAGTGTCGGGTAAGGAAGATAACCCGATTTCATTTGTGATTTTGCATTGGCTGTATTTCTACCAAGATTCAAGTAAGACAAAATAGTTATTTTTCATGGCTAGCCCATTTTTAGGAATCTAGAAAGTAATTAAAAATTCTCATTGGACCAACTCTCCCTTTTTTTTGAAATGCCCTTTTTAGTTTTGTTAACTTCTTGTTAGTGTGTCATTAGTTCATATTCTTCAAAACCCATTTTATCTAATTGCATTAAACCAAGACTTCTTCCTCAGTTTATGGACACTGATTATTACAAATATAGTGGTAATTTGATTGAAATGCAGAAGTTGCAATAATATACAATAATTTGAAATGGATTATCTGATACAAACTAACATTTTCAAGATGTTTGTATAAAATTATTGGATGTTTAAATGAGTTCTCTTAGTAATCGTTTCTTATATTTTAGACCAACTGAGTTTGAAATTTAGAGGAGACTCACTAAAAGCTGTTTGGGTTCAATTTTAGGACACTCCTATTCCTCATCAAAGAAGATCAATTGAATGCTGCACAGAAAGGAATGAATGTAATAAAGACCTCCACCCTACTTTGCCTCCACTGAAAAACAGAGGTAAGGCCAGGATGACTTTCAGGCTGGCAAAGCTTGGGCACAGTAAAAATGAACATGGGAAGCATTTTTTCTTTTTCCAGCTCTTCTACCTGCAACATTTTTCAGAGCTGAAATGGAGGGCTGAGGCAAGATAACATAATGAACCTGTCACTCAGAGAGGCATGCAGACAGTTCTGGGGACAGTAGTTGCCTGTGATTATACTTTTAGGATGTGTGTTGCTTTGACTTCTCCCCACTTCCCTCCCAGAGTTGTAGTTCCTAGAGCTTGCAGGGTGTCTCAGGAGAGGAGAGGGAGATGGTGCTTCGTGCTTACCCACAAAAGGTATTCAGAAGTTGTATTTAACTTGGAAACTGCCATTTGGCTTTCTTGATTTTAAAATAAAAACCTTATAAAAGACTAAATAAAAGATCATTTGCTATATGACATTTCATTTTATCAATGCTAGAGTAATTTTTACTCATCATATATCAATAGACTGATAAAATAGGGATGATGTTTATAAGTTTTAACTTTAAAACTTATACATTTAAGTTTTGCTCATTGAAAAAAAAGATATTAAGTCCCAAAAGACTTTGTATTAAAAATAACTCCCATGTTTCCTTTCTTCTCTTTGTTCTCACACAAATAAATGATTTGTATTGTCATGGTCTTGATTGCTAAGTATTATATAAGTGGGTTCAAGGGATCCTTCATGGTGGATTTTCTTTCTTTCTTTCTCTCTCCTTTTTTTTTTTTTTGTACTGGGGATTGAACTCAGGGAGCACTTAACCACTGAGCCATACCCCCAGCCCTTTTTATTTTTTATTTTGAGATGGGGTCTCACTGAGTTGCTTAGGACCTTGTTAAGTTGCTGAGACTGGCTTTGAACTTGTGATCCTCCTGCCTCAGACTCCCAAGTCACTGGGATTACACATGTGCTACATCACAGCTGGCTGATTTTATTTCTTAAAAAGAAAAAGAATTCACATCAAAAATTCACAATTTAAAAAAAATCCAAGCAATAAGATATATAGAAATGGATAAAGACAATTTTTGCTTTCCAAACTATACTTTAGAATTCGAGAAAGAAAATGTAAATAATTGACTTAGGTTTGGTGAAAAAATTTCAATAATAGAGTTAGACAGTAAAGTATGTTAGTTACATAAAAAAGTGAGTGGCTAGCTCTGGGGTGGGAGGATATCAAAATAGCCTTTTAGAAGTGACGCTTGAATAAGACTTTACAGATGAACAAGAATTACCTAAGTGTGAGGAAGGATAGGCTACATGGGTGAAATTTAAAAATTGTGCTGAGTATTATGTGAACTAACCCAATTTATACCTTACAGAAACTCTATGAGGTACTTAGGACTGATGGTCCCATTTTAAAAATGAGGAAATTGCAATATACAAAAAAGGTTAACTTCATCAAATTTACACAGCCTGTGCGTGGCATGATTTGCTTTGCTTATTTTTCACTGCAGCACCAGCAAAGCAAAATACCTTAGGATAATATTCTTTCTCCAGAATGAGGAAATATGAAAAATAATTAGATCAACTCCAACACCTTCATCAATAACAAAATATGACTCAGAAGCCTAGTAACACTACAGCTGTTGGTAAGAATAGAAATGAGAAGAAACGTCTGTTCTGAAGTGAAGGAGGATGTGAAGAAGTCCCTCATCCCAAAATTACTTCTTAAGTCACATTGATTTATTTATTTGTTACCCAGGATTGAACTCAGGGAACTGAGCCACATCCCCAGCCCTATTCTGTATTTTATTTAGAGAGAGGGTCTCACTGAGTTGTTTAGTGCCTTACTTTTGCTGAGGCTGGCTTTGAACTTGTGATCCTCCTGCCTTAGCCTCCCAAGCCGCCAGTATTACAGGCGTCTGCCACCACACCCGGTTTATAGCAGCATTTGTTTATTTTTAATGAACACTTAAATAAATGATAACAGTGTCAAAATGAAATAAATAGAAGCTCTTGCTTTATTAAGTAAGATGCTGATTTGGCTTGTGAAAAAACAAAATTTCTATAATTGAAGAAAGTTGGTGTGGGTTTTAATGTTTAAATATTGAAATTACTCATGTACTACATATAGACTTTATAGAAAATTTTTCAGAAATAACCTTCTGTTTTGGAATGTGATGATTTTAATGTAGTTTCAGTCAAATTATAATACAGAATTTCCAAAGTTGAAAAATTTTTTTCCGTTTAATAAATATAGTGTGCGCAGCTTACAGATTTATGTTAAAATGCTATCCCTGACATGCCAGAAATGGTGGTATACACCTATCTATAATCTCAGTGATTTGGGAGGATGAGGTGGGAGGATAACAAATTTAAGGCCAACCTGGGCAACTTAGGCCCTGTCTCAAAAAATAAAATAAAATAAAGCTGGGGATGTAGCTCAGTGGAAGAGCACCCCGAGTTAGATCCCTAGTACAAATAAATAAGCCAACAAGTAAGTAAATAAAATGCTGTCCTTTAGGTATTGCCAATTATAAACTAAAGTCTCTAGGTAAAGGCATCTAACTAGTGAAACATCCATATTCTCCTCAACAGATGGAATGTATGCTAGTGTACAGCATGTGAAGGGGAGCCCAGAATGGACCTTCTGTTGTGCAGGTTGTGCCCTCAGTATTGTAGACCAGTATACGAGACGGAGCTCAGTTCCTTGCCAGAGAGTAGTGCTAACATTTCTTGCAATGCTCCGCTCCTTTGGTGCCCACTGTGTGTTCTTGCTGTGAATAAGCATAGGCTGTTGTGACTGGCACTGAAGAAGAGATGGCACAGGAAAGCCGAGCAGATGTCCAAAGCCACTCAAACATGCAGGGACCACGTTCATGATCTGTAACTAGAGAGTGGACTGGTCTGTGGACTGGCCCAGGACACCAAAGGCTACTAAATAGCCGGCCCTTTAGTCCTGGTTTCTCTCTCTGCATGGATCTCCTCCTGAGGTAGCTGCTGAGTGGCTCAACTCTTGTGGGAACTTGTATTTAGGAAGCTGTGGGCTGTGCAGAATTGGCATCCGGAGAGAAGGCTGGTGAGAGGCCCAGTCCTTGAGCTGTGGCCAAGGCAAGGAGAACTCCTCTACCCTGAGGCCATTCAGACTTGGAGGAGCTGCAAAAAGGGGCAATTGTTAAAGTGGGTAGAACTGCCTTCCAACTGGGCAGCTCTTGAGAATGACACATGACTGGGTTTTGTGCCCATTGCCAGCTATGTCTCTGTCTTTTCTTACCAGTGTACATAAAATATACTGGTATTTGTCCCCCCCATACACCCCCAAAAATAAAATAAACACTCAATTCCTATCTGGGAAATTCGGATTAAATTTGTGTGTAAGACAGATGAAAGGAATTCAGAGGTAATTAACTTATCCCCCCCATTCTCATACAGAAATTTGGATATAAAAGTTGTTTCTTAAATCTCCTTTATTATCAGGAGATAGGACCCCAAACAGTTTTATACGTGAGAATAACTAGAATATTGTTTTTATTCTTAAGAAAAATTTAAATCTAGATTTAACTGTAAAAAGAAATCCCAACATATGATAAAAGTAAATATATAATGTTATTACTAACATTGTGTGTCAAGGCTATTCTTTTTAAATTCTTTATACTGTATTGATTGGATGATATCTCCCGATTATCCATAATCATTAATACTTAGAGTGCTTGAAAAGATATCTTTGGACAAGCAATTATTTTCCAAGATCCTTTCTAGCTGTATGATTTTTTTTCCTTTTTATTTCATGTTGCAAATATGAACCACCTTCTAGTCCTGTAAACACAGTCCTGTCAGCCTGAGAAGTTCCTAACTACTCCTCTGCTGGGTCATTAGTAGTGACAGGTGCAGTTTTGTTTCAAAGTTGCTGACGATCCGTACTTGCCTCTTGGAATCAGTTAGACATCCCTGGGGAACTCTTGGTTCAGTTTCCTGAGTAGTTGGAGTGACAGTACAGGTAGAAATAAGCTGCCCAGAGAGAACTGTGGGCTCTGCTCTTTTCCTGATAGGTATCTGGCCTTGTTGGCTTTGGAGACTCTGGCAGAGACTTGAATGTTTACATTTGTTAATGCTCTGAGCCCAGGTAATGGTAGATTAAAACATGACTGGTGTGACAAAAGGTGTATTGCTAAGGATCTCCTGTTCATGAGGAGAGACAGGGGGATGGACAGGGAGGCTGCAGGCGCTAGGGTATTGGGGCCACAAAAAAAAAATGTGAAAAGGGAGGTAAAACTAGCCTTAGAGAAAGAGCTTATTGGTAAGGAGAGAGCCTTTGTGGTCTCATTGTTTTCACAAACCAGAAAGATCATGAAATGAGAAGTAAATACAGTGTTCTTGCAGTTTAGGGTGTATTCTGTACTCATCATTTACATGAAAAATAAAAGACAAGGGAAGGTGAGAATTTTAGTAAAACTGTATCACTGGAATTAAAAAGAGTTTTGTGTCCTTATACTGAAAATGTGTTGTGATTATGTGAACCTCTGTAGTTTTAGTTGAGTAGCATTCTTTTTGAATTTCTGCAAAATCAAACTTTTCTTACTTTTAAAACTGGGAATACATTTAAAACTGGGAATACAGTGGATAGGAGTGTTATTCTGCAACTTTATATAGTTAAAAAATAATACAGACATACAAAAGTAAATAAATACAAATGCAAATATATGTATACGTATGTGTGTGTATACTGATACACACACATGTATGGGACACTAATAGAGCAAGAGAATTATAAAACAAATATAAAATTTTAACAATGAGAATAATTGGCATATTGGAGTTGTTTATTCTCATAGATTATTAGTTGTTTATTCTCATAGTTGATTATTCTCATAGTAAGGCTGAAATATTTTCAAAATAGTTAAAACATTCTTACATTGATAATGTGGTCTTTTTAAAGGATGTTTGACAATATGACTTGAAATATATGTCCTTTGACCTAATAATTATTCTAGGAATTCCAAAGAAATAAGCATTGACATGTGCCAAGACATATGTGTTTACTTACTATAGAATTGTATTTATTATAATAAAGAAATATTATAGCAAAATCTTTGAAATCTCCTAAATAAACAAGAGAAGACTGGCTAATTAGGATGTCCCTACATATAATAATATGTAGTCTTTAAATCATATTTCAGAAAAAAAAACTTGTTGTTTTGGAAAATGTTAACAATATTATAAATTAAAATAATCTATAATGCAATATATTATACAATTTTTGAATGATTTTGCTTATGAATTTTTTTTATTCATTACAATGACACCAAGATGGCATATACCTAACTGTTGGCTATAAATTCTCCTGTGTGGTAATGAGGTAGTGATTTTGTTTTTAACGTTAGTTAGTTGATGCTTTTTAGTTTTTCTTCATATAACATATACTTTTTTAATGGAAAATAAGTAACATTGGGTGGGATAAGAACTTCATCCAAAGAAATTGTTTGGGTGGCCATATTTGTAAAGATACACAGTTGGAAAATCTCCACTTGTAATAAAAGACAATAATAACTCTTCTCAAGGGTAAATGTTGCCCTTAACAATAATAGTACTCATTCTGTTACTGCATGAGTACAGTGCACATTGCTTTAAGTCATTTTTCTCAAAATATGGCCCAGCAACCACTGCATAAAAATTACCTGGGTTTGGTGGCTCATACCAGTAATCCCAATGACTTAGGAGGCTAAGGCAGGAGGATTGCAGGTTTGAGGCCAGCCTCAACAACTTAGCAAGACTGTATCTCTAAATAAAAAAGGCTAGGATGTAGCTCAGTGGTAAARTGCTCTTGCCTTCAGTCCCCAGTACCAACCAGCCAACCAACAAACAAAAACCCATACACACACAGTCAGTAAATGTAAATATGCATTTGTATTGAATGTCTTTCTGTCATTCTTACTCATACAAAGTTTGAGAAAACAAGCATTAAGTAAATCTGGTTTGTCAAGAATGAGAGTTAAGACAAAGTGAATATGTTTCATGTATTTTTATATTATAAATTTTATATTATATATACATAATAATATATAATATCATTTAAAAGTTTCACATATTCTTTGGCAAGAACACATTCATTCTTTTATAGTGTGTTTCCATTTGAAAAAAAATTGTATTCATGAAGGACATCCATTTGCTCTTGTCCTGTTCTCTCCATGCGTTTATCCTGTGCCAAGTCCGTTCCTTCCAGAGAGGAAATGTATGCTGTTGAAATGTGTCTACATGAAGGATGATTGACATAAGTCAAACATGTAGTTTTGAGTGTCTGTGTATTTTTAATCAATTGTCATGCTAAAAGTGTTTTCATATCTTGGATATATTGCTTAGCAAGTACTTTTGAGAAAAAGTTGTTTCCTCATTTTAAGTAAAAATATTCTCCATATCATGACTCTCTTTTTAATTTCAGATTTTGTTGATGGACCTATACACCACAAGGCCTTACTTATATCTGTGACTGTCTGTAGTTTGCTATTGGTCCTTATCATTTTATTTTGTTACTTCAGGTAAGGTTCTAACAATGTAGATATGGAATTTGGCATTCACAGTACCTTTCATAAACTAATATTCTACCATTTTTTTTCTGTTGATCTTCTTCATTGAAGCTTTCCTTGGTCTAATTGGATTTTAGACTTAAAATATTTGAAACTATTGACAAATATTTATCCCAAGGAAGTTATAAATAGGTACCCAACTCATTTCCACTTCAGACATCAAAACTATTCTTATAAATATTTCACCTCTAAGGAAATCAGGGGAGTTCCAGCACTGATTACTTCTCAGATTGATTCTAAGTAAAGCAAGGACTACGCTGAACTTTGAGTAGTTCAATTTATTCCATGTTTCTTGAGCTAAAAATTTCTCATATAAAAGATTTTTAAATATAATTTATAGAATAAATGTTAAAATAAAAAGTTGTTATAATAAAGTATGACAGCTACAAACTATTTTCAGTCATCTAAGAACTTATTTTCTAGTTTATGAAATATGAAAGATCTTTATACCCATATAATTTGTCTTTCAGGCAATTTAATATTCATTTATGATACTCTGCAAATGTGTCAATGAATGGATTCAAATAAATTCATGTTCTAATTGAAAACATTATAATTAAAAGGAAAATAACTTAGGGAATAAATATTGAAACTATGTGGAAATATTAACAGAATATAGACGTGCAATTGAAAGAAGCAGAAAAATTGTAAATGGTTGACACTGTGTAAAAAACATGACGTTTATTTTTAAAAAATCAGCAAAATTTAAGATTTGTATTTTAGAAACCATAACTAGGGGCAACATTTGATCTTGTCTTGCATTTTTATGATAAAATCAAACCTGCTGTGATTAGTGTTTATCTGCAATGCTTTATCTGTGTCAGTACATTTCAGTTTCTAAAATTATCCCAATCGTCTATCCTTAGGTATAAAAGACAAGAAACCAGACCTCGGTACAGCATTGGGCTGGAACAGGATGGAACTTACATTCCTCCTGGAGAATCCCTGAGAGACTTAATTGAGCAGTCTCAAAGCTCAGGAAGTGGATCAGGCCTCCCTCTGCTGGTATGAGAAGAACATATCTTGAAAGGAAATGTCTTGTGAAAGGAAATGTCAATAAATATAGGGTTTCATTTTACTGAAATAGATAGGACAGTGGAGAAGGAGAACGCTTTAGGCAGTCGATTGGACATCAGATTTCAGATGCAGGGCTTCCTGATAACATTTTGACATATTGAGGGTAAGGTGATTGTTTTTTAATGAAAGTGTATGGTTACAACCTAGACCCTCAGACATCTTTCTGATACAGAGCAGATTAGAAAACATTAAACGTGGGACTATCTTCCCTCTGTTTTCATTGAGGATAGCATTACAGCACTTTGGCCTGGCTATTGAAGGCAAAAGTATTACAACCAATTGGGATCTGAGCACTTCTACAAAGGAAGAAGGCTGCATTTCAGCCACAGAGTTCATGTTTCAGGTTGAGATCTTAGCTTTTCCATTCAGGAGAGGTTTAATTTTCCAATGGTGAGTACTGCCAGCCTGGACAAGCATATATATACCAAATTCCAGGCGCTTGCTTTAATGAGAAAAATATTTGATTCTTTTATGAACCATGAAGAAAGATAGTTGGGATTCATGATATAAATAATTCTCATGAGGAATGATCTGGTTCTGACTTTGGATATCTTATTTACTTTATTCATATGATGGCCTTTGATTTACTACTATGAGTAATAATTTTGAGACCAGGCAGAAAATAACTGATGGAGCTCTTTCAGCCTTCCCAAATCTTTAATCCTGCTAGGTTCTTTCCCTGGATATGACATTATAATACCCAGTGCTGCTCCTGGGTCTTCTTTCTTGGCTTGATACCCATTGTACCTAAGCTCAGCCTGCCTGCCCACCCTCTCCTACCTCCCTTCCCTACCTGCATCCTGAACTTAACTTCACCTTTGAGTAATTTCTTTCTTTCTTTTTTTTTTTAAGAAAATTCTCTTTAATGGTCCAAGTTCAAAGTGGAAATTCTGGTATACATTATTATTACCACAAACAGAAACAGCCTATACACAGATATGCACAGATTCATGGCAAGTTTTAGTTACAAAAGAGGTGGAAGAATTTTCTTGACAGTTCTTTATGTAATTGAAAGTAAATAAAATTAAAATCTTGCAAGCCAGTACAAATATTATTGCAATTGGTATTTTAATTATCATGCATTTACTATACTAGAAAGGAAAAAACCCACTTTTACCCACTATCCAAAAAAAGAATTAAATAATTTTTTAAAAGACTGTTTTACTCAAAAGGGAATAGGAATGAAATGGTAAAGTTAAAAAAAAAAAAACCAAAAAACTCCATTTCAGGATGGGCTGGTAGCTCAGTAGTAGAGTGCTTGCCTAGCATGTGTGAGGCACTGGGTTTGATCCTCAGCTCCACATTAAAAAAAATAAATAAAATAAAGGTATTGTGTTCATCTACCAAAAATAAATAAATAAATAAAAAGCTATTACATTTGTGCCAGTATCATCTAAATTAAGAGTGCAATATCTTTCAGACATATCACTAATAAAAGCAAACTACAGATATTTGAAAAGTTGTACTATCATGAACAAAATACTTCATAGACATTTTTAACCTTTGARMAATGAAAATATTTCCTTTGTCCTCTCACATAAAAGGGGGAATTTGTTAATAAAATAACTAATATTTCTATGTATACAGTGCTTTCAAAACTACCACATCATTTTAATATATATATACACATATATACATATATATCATAGTGATATATATGTATATATATGTCATTATTTTAATATATATATATATACATATACATATATAGCATAATGATATATGTGTGTATATGTCATTATTAACTGAAATTTACAGATAAGAAAGCTGAGACCAGTGATCAGACAGTCAGAATTTGGTGGAGCTAAAACCTAAATTAAGAACTTCCAGGTCTACATTTCATATAATTTCTACTACACTCAAAGAGAAAGAACATTTTTATTTGTTGGTATTTTATATATGAAAAATCTCTGCATTTAAGGAAGATAAACATCATCTTGCCACCAATGTAAGTTCTCCATATATAAAGCAATATATTTTTATTTTTCTCTGACCTGTGCTTGAAATTTGTTTTTGTCAATAACTATCATTTTTTTTAACATAATGACCTTTCTGTAATTACTTCTTGAAAACCAGGTATGTCCACATCTTCACAAATGTAAGCTCTTTATGGAACATTCCTCCAACTTATGGCCAAGGCCTACTTCACATTTTATCTCTCACAACTTATCAGTTACCCAAGAATGAGCCAATTTATTTTGTCTTTTATCATAATATTTTCCTTTTAATACTAATATGGCTGCTTAAAATAAGGTTACAATTAATGTTAATGTATCTTTGTGTTTTGGTGACCTGGGTCCTGTTTGAAGGTGGAGATTATATTTTATTCACTTTGAATCCCCAGTAGAATGTCTGATTCATTAAGGGGCTGCTCAGTCATTTGTTTTAGAAAGCTTTCGGTTCCTACTTTTGCAGTCTATAAGGATACTGTTTCTATAATCAAGATACCAGAATAATGACATTTTCCTTATATCATACAATTATTAGGCATACAAATCCTCAAGCCACATTGCCTGGGTTGTCTAGTCTAGACAATGGCCTTTATATATATTCCAATTTAATMTTCATTCTAATCCTGTGATGTAATAGAGCTAAGTGTCACTTAATGACAGGGACAGATTGTGAGGAATGCATCACTAGATGATATCATTGTATGAACATTACAGAGTGTTCTTATACAAACTAAGGAAACTCTTCCATCAGTAGGCAAATTCATTGTCTTACGGAATCATCATTACATATGCAGTCTGTCTTTGACCAAAACCTTGATAAACAGCACATGACTGTACTAGAAATATATCCTTGCATTTTCACATCAGGGGATACAACAGAAATAGGCCAACTAATTGGTGTATGAAAAAGTAAGGATTTAAACCCAGATGATGGGACCCAGTCAGGATTTGAACCTAAAATCTGTGCTTTTAACCTTTGGAAGATAGGAAGCAAATGTTCAATAAGTCAAAGAAATGCATTTGATAGGAGAAATAAGGAAGGAGGGTTCTATAAAATCCTGTCAGTAAAAAATAAAATAAAATAAACAAAGTCTCAGCATTACAACTTTAATATCTGGTTTTAGGATTTGGTTTTTCAGATTAAAATATGCTGAAGTATATGGTCTTTTCTCCATATATTGTTGTGTAAATGAATATCTCACCTTAGTACAGATTTGCTGTTTATCTCATTAATGGAAGAAAAATTCATGCCTTAACACATATGTGGACCTAATGTTTACCAGATGATTTTATATCCTTTAATTTGGGGTCCTCTCTTTTTTTTAACATAAAATATCTATTTCTTTCTTCCTTAAAGAGAAGGAATATCAGAGTTGTTGAAAGAATTAAGATAGTGTATGTTTCTGTTCTCTGTGTGTGATGCATATGTATTCACACACACACATCACAATTMCTGGCATATTATTTAACATACATATAGTATGTATTTAATAAGTAATAACTTATTGTTACTTATATTCTATGTTTTTGATTTTGTAAAGGAGCACAAGGTAATTTTTCTAACTGAATATTAAAGCTCTTTAGTGAGGAGTCTTGTGAAAATCTTTCCCATACATATTATTAACACAGCCTTATTAAGTGAAGTATTTTAAGCCACATAGTTGTTTGTAGAGGGGTGTGTGTGTGTGTGTGTGTGTGTGTGTGTGCGTGTGTGTGTTGCTCATTTAGAGACACAGGAGAGAGTGGGCAACATTATTAACAGATATGTATTTTTATGGTACATGGATTTAAACATTAGACACTATCAGATCATTAAGTAAGATGCTAATCCTGGAATAGTTATAGCTCTTTATAAATCCTTATACATTCACTTGTATCCAGTGCACATGAAATAATTCTTCTTTAGAATCGCAGTTACTCTGATTTATATGTAAGATGAAATCAACTAGTAAACAGAAAAGATCTCTCTTGGTTCACATTTTAGAGATTTCAGTCAGTTAGCCCTGTTACTTCAGGCTTGTGGTAGCACATCATGACAGGAGTGCCTGAACTGCCCATCTCATGGTCAGGAAGTAAAAGAGAGAGAAAAGAAGAGTCCATGCTCCACAGTCCCCTCTGAAGGCACACTTCCAGTGACCTCAGTTCGTCTCAGTAGGCCTCATGGGTTAAAAGTTTCCACCTCCTCCCAATAGCACCAGATTGACCTTTGAGGGGCACTTAAGATCTAAACTATAGCAAGATATTTTATGTATACACCCAACTTTCAAATATTGATGTCTACCAATATAATATAGAATGAAAATGTAAGTACAAAGAGACCAGAAATATTTGCTAAATCAAATAAAAACTCAAATTTTAGTTTTTAAAATTGTCAAGTTATATTTTCATGCCCTTAGGTGTTATAATCCCAAAATATAAGTGCATTTTAAACTCCTGAGTGTTAATTTATTATCTTGAAGATATGTTGGTCCTAGTTTATCAGGCTTTGCCAATGCTGTCAGTACTTTCATTAAAGAAGATGTATTATCACTAAAAAAGAAGCAGATGSAAAACTGTTTATGTTAGGGAATATTCACAGATTTACATAAGCAATGTTTTGTAACATCTATAAATCGAGTACAATATCTCTTTAATAGATGTGGCAAGTTTCCTGTCAAGTGAGTAATTAAACTGCTTATGTATTTGGCTCCCAGCTGCTCAGTGCTCTTGAAGCTCCTGTCAAACGGTTTGGGGATGGAGGTATACCAAAGGTTTCCTTGCATAACACATTTGGCTGCTAAATGAAGGGCGACTGCTTGTGTGTACATACTTGCTTGCTTATTTCCATTTGGCTTCATGGCTTTATAGTATGTCAGTAATTCTCTTTTATTTTAAATTCTTTTAAAGAAACAGACTTTTCCCCAAAAGCTTTCAGTTTGTTATCAGTGCCAATAATGGTTTGGGGAATGAATAACATTACGTTTTGAATTGATAAAATACCTTATTTAAAAAAAAACCCAGAGAACTGATCCCTGTTGGTAAGACATCTGTGGTAGGTGGAATAATGCCTCCCCCCATTTCCATATCCTAATCCTTAGGATCTGTTATGATAAAAGACAAAGGGGAATTAAGGCTGCTGATCTGCTGAATGTGAGGTGAGATTATTTGGATTATTTGGGCTGTTCATTGTTATTGTACATAGTTAAAACTGCAAAAACAAAATGGAAAACTTAGGTTTTTACTCAATATAAAACATATCTGTACATGAGTACATTCTTTGGATTCTTTATGAATGTTTTATAGATTATGTAAATTATCAGAGATGTTTAGGCCTTCCAGTTATGGAACCATTAATATCGGTTTTCTTAAAATATCCTTTTGTAAGTATCGATTGGAGAAAGATTATGTGTACAGGGACATTTAACTTTGATTTCACTTTTATTTTCTTTTTCTTTGCTCTACTGCATTCTTTAAAATTCTTCGGAGCTGTCTTATAGCTTGTTAAATAACTTTCTCTTCAGCTCGTTAGTTTTCTCTCATTAACGTTTCTCTTTAATCTGCTGCTTTGCCTGTCCGTTTTGCATTTTTAATTGTGACAATTAACTATTCTATTTCAAAAGTGTAATTTTCAATAATCTCTTCTTGTTTGCTTATTTTTCATTTGTTGTTCTGTTTCTTAAACACTTCATTTAGTTAGTTGGAATTCTGTATGTGAAAATTATAATAGGTTAGCTGACTGAGTTAAATTCATTTGCTGTGTTAGTATGGACTCACAGTGGCTGTTTCCTTTTGTCTTTTGTTTTAAGGAATTCATTCTGTTGGATCTTCTCTCCCTTTTCCTTTTCTCTTCTTTTTTTTTTCCTGTTGTTCTCTTCCTCCCTACCACCTTGGAAATTTTCTCTATTGTGAGTCCATCAGTGTATTACAGTCACGTTATGTGATGACAAGAGTTTCTTCAAAATACTATGATCCCACCATGACTGTAGAGTGAAAAGTATTCTGCATTTGATTTCCTCTAGAGAGGATTTATGTTCATTTTTCGCCAAGAGCCATGACATGTGCCCAACCTAGATCAAATTTAGTACTGTTCCATGGTTTTAGCTTGATGCTGAAGTCCTAGAATTGCCCTGGCACATGACTAAATGGGTCAGGGTCACTCCAGGAGAACTGGGCTGGCACGAAATAATGACACACAGACAGAGAAATACCTTTTTCTTTGGGTTCTGTGACGGCCCCTCTGACCCAGCTCCCACCAAGGAGGCAAGGCAGGCAAGAAACAGAGGGAGCACGCCTCAAACCCAGATTTTATTAATGGAGGGAGCAAATCCATGGAACAGTCTATCCAAAAAAGGGCAGAAGGGTAGGATTACAACAAGCAGGTGGGTGTAATTCAACCCCATCAGGTAATGCCCATTCCTAGAGCTTCACCTTTATTATCCGAGTAGAGGTAAAGTCCAGTTGCATTGCAGGGTGCAGTACCACTCCAGTACTTCTCTACTGAGGACTTAAATAAAGGTGTGTGCATAGCTCCTGAACAAGGTGGCCCCGGACACTAGAGTAAGTCCCCTTAGTTTTTTAAAAAATCACTGTTTAGATTCTGGATCCCAGCACTGGTATTGTTCTCTGCCAGACAGAAGTCTGGCTTTTCTGTATGTTTAATGTGTATCGTTCCTTGCTTTGGTCTCAGCTCCCTCCCTTCTTTCTACTCCCTTTTCTTTTTTCCCTTTTTCCTTCCTTTTTTTYCCCTCATGTGCCCAACAGTATATTATAATTTTGTTTCATCTTAATGTGTCTGTGATTGTTATACGTTGGCAAGAGTTCCTTCAGAGAACACAGTAACACTGTATAGCAGGGAAGTCAAAATATTCTGTTTTGCCATTAGCTGCGAACCCATTCACTTTTTTTTCCTCTGTAAACATTACAATTAGAGGAATGAAATATTTAATAATTTGGAGGCAATATGTTGAGCATTCAGAATCCACAACCATCTCAAATAGGTTTAAAAGGGAATAGTATAAATTAATAAATAAATACAAATAACTAATCTATATCTCATCTATATAAAGAAAAATCCTGACTACATATATTTTACATGCACTAATCGTTTCTTCTCTGGAAGAAAAAAAAAAACAAACAAATCTGTAGTGCCATGAATACACTAACAAGAGTGTTTTGGGATTTCACAGGTCCAAAGGACTATAGCTAAGCAGATTCAGATGGTGAAACAGATTGGAAAAGGTCGCTATGGGGAAGTTTGGATGGGAAAGTGGCGTGGCGAAAAGGTAGCTGTGAAAGTGTTCTTCACCACAGAGGAAGCCAGCTGGTTCAGAGAGACAGAAATCTATCAGACAGTGTTGATGAGGCATGAAAACATTTTGGGTAAGTCTATACAGCGGTGCTCAGGGTTTTCTGCTTCCCTTGGTCTTTCCGGCAACATCTGCCTATGAAAGTCTGTGTACATTTGCTATGAAATGTATAGATGAGTAGAGCTTTTCTTCTTGGCATTGGCCCAAGACCACAGCTTCTAGTGGGAGGCCTCACAGGCAGAATGACCAAGACACTCCTGTGAATGGATGGCAGACTGAACTTGGAATGCTCTCAAATGTTTTTCCTTCAGAAACTGGAGATACAAACGCAACACCAGAATTTCTTAGGATTTGAAGGAGCATGTATTTTTTTTAAATGTCAAAAATTATGGGCATTTTATCTGCAGGGTTTATTTATGTCAAGAATTTATGATAAGAATTGATTGACTTTCTATTAGGCCAGACTTGGTCTGTCTGCATCACGGAAGGGTGAATGCAAACTGATCAGTGCGGTGTGTATCTTAACTCAAGACTGGGTTTTGCAAACAATGTTGTTCATGTCACTTTAACATCATAAAGGGATTTAAATGTCATCTACTGATCAGAAAGGAGTCATGTTTTCCGACGTAAACTTTTAATCATTCTTCATCTCTACAATTTCAAGTGTGTCTGATTGTTATTTGTAATTTAATACCACCACAGACATGATCGGAAAACTTAGTGAAACTCTAAAAAAACGACATCTCTGGACAAAGAATCATATTTGAGACTGTGAATTATTCTAGATTTTATTGAGAAAACACCTCCAATCTTTTTTGTCTCTTTTCCTTTTAGGGTTCATTGCTGCAGATATCAAAGGGACTGGGTCTTGGACCCAGCTCTACCTCATCACAGACTATCATGAAAACGGTTCCCTTTATGATTACCTAAAGTCCACCACCCTAGACACTAAATCCATGTTGAAGTTAGCCTACTCTTCTGTCAGTGGCTTATGTCATTTACACACAGAAATCTTCAGTACTCAAGGCAAACCAGCGATTGCACACCGAGATCTGAAAAGTAAGAACATCCTGGTGAAGAAAAATGGAACTTGCTGCATAGCTGACCTGGGCCTGGCTGTTAAATTTATTAGGTTAGTATCAATGTGAACAAATATGCTTTTTATGATTGTTTTCTATCATTTTAAAAGATTATACACTCTGTAGCTCAGTGTTTGTAGGATATTTAGTAGGTGAGGCATTTCATTAATACCAGCTTTTCTTTGGGGGCAAAAATATCACTCCTCATTTCTGTGCTTATCAGGGACCTGGCTTAGAAACTGTTGATGTTAGATTTGCAACCGTTATGAACCTCTCTTCTGTGGAAAAGAGGTAGCTAATGCCTGGGAATCTGTTGTCAGAATTCTGTGTAACATTTGTAAATAGGAAAAAGTTTAAGGAAAGAGCTATCCGTTATATAATGAGAAAGGCCCTGTTTTGTTTTGGTTTTTAATTTTTTTTAATTGAGAATAGGAAGATAACTTGCATGAGTGTTTAATAAGAAATATTAGAAACTTATCTAATACACCCAGTGTTCAGCACTATTCTACTGTAGTTTAAATAATGAATATAACACTTGGGCACCATAAACCGGGGTGTATTAACAGTGGTTTTCAGACCCCCTTGGGGCTGATTGGTCTACACAATGTAGAGCAGATGGGCCCAGTTGGGACTTTATTTTAAGTGGAAAGGCTCCTTTTTTTTTTTTTTTTTTTTTTTGAGGATGATTTAATTGGAGGAATGGTTCTTCTGTTCTGAAAACAAAACAGCCAAGATGAGTTTGGGTACCACTGGCGTAGAAGAACCATCATATACCTACCTGCCTTTTTGAAAGCTCACTTTAGATTCGAGGGAGAGTCATGGAATGATGAAAATTTTGGAAAATAAAATTCACAAGAAAGGACAGATGAGTTGGTATTTCCACCTGGAAGTAAAGGCTGCAGTGTGATTTAATAATGAACCCCAAACATAGAAGGTCTTTACCATTTAAACATGACAAATTAAAGTTCCTGATCTTTAAAAACAAAGGAAATGCTTCGGGCTATAGATTTAAGTTAGAAATATGAATCTCCTGCCAATAAAGATTATTACGTCCCCTCTTCCTTCTGAGTTCTTTTTAATGACCTGTAGCCCTTTTCAAGTCACACACACACRCACACACCATGGCATTCTTCACATTACTAACCTTTTCCTCCTTCCTCTGTTAAATTTCTCCATAGAGGTACAAAGGGTAATCTGCTTTCCCAGCCTAGTAATTTTTAATGTCATATAATGTGGCTTCTGTTTCATCCCCTCCTGACACTTCTTTAGTGAGACAACCATTTGTCTTTGTCACCAGGTGGCCGCATCCCCTTCCCATCCCACGGTCCATAGCATCCAAGCCTTTCCCTTCCTCCTCTTTTCATGAGACTTTTTTCTGCATGTTCCCTCTTCTCTCTCCCACTATGTCTTCTTACCTGCTTTTTAAATACTTTCCACCTGTGTGATTTCTTGTTMTTTCTTCTAGTTCTTAGTTTTGCTGAACCATCCTAAACCTAGGATGTCTAACATCTTCTTTTGTTCCCAAACTTTTTGTTTTTCTAACAAATGAATTCTGTCTTCATGAAATTCCCACTTGTCCCTGGCCAGCTTGGGCCCTCAACACCAATTTTCTAAACTCAGGAGTGAAGCATTTTGCAGTTATTTCCTCTTTGTCTTTCCATTATTCAATCTTTTCTGCATGCTTTGCCCTTTATTTTCTTGGAGTATAATTTTGGACATTATCATAATTTCACAGTTTCCTGTGGCTTTGGKTTAATACGTAAAGTCCCTTGGTTACAGTGGCCTCTCTTTCTTTACTGATCCTGGACTATTGGTGAGCCCTATTCATAGCACACTATTTACTTTTGCTGTCTTTGTTCTGAACCCTTTATATGTTCATACTCACAAGTTTATTTTTTTAAAATGCTTTTATTATCTGAATACTCATATCCCCTCCTCCATCAGAACTACTGCTGGTCTTCAGTTTCTTCCTTAGAGATGTCTTCTGTTGCTATTCTTATACAAGTCTTATTTTTAGTTCATCTTCTTGTATACCTCCAGGGTGACCCTGCACCTGTTATGATACTTCTCACTCTGTTTTATAGTGATCATGGGCTATTTATCTGTCCCTCCCAATAGAGAATAATCCCCTTGAAGGAAAATAACATATATTTTTTCAAATTTCTATCCCAGTACCTTCCATTATAAGGTGTTGCTTATAATTTTTATTTAATAGATAAATGAGTGATTCCATATGGACCACAGAATGAAGAAGAAACACCTTTCTCTAGCTCCAGAGATCCTATACATTATGCATTAAATCCACCTTCCTAGTTTTATATTCTACAGACTCCAATTTGTATACTTTTACAGAACTGAGTTGCTTGCAGTTTCTCCTTATAATTCCCCATGCTTACTACTGCCTTGTATTTGGTTAYACATTCCCTGGCTTGAAATGACTCTGCTTCTCCATGTACCTTAATCTCAGAGGTGCCTCTAAGCTACTTTATTCACCCCCACTTAGAAATAATGATGTTATCTTCTGTCCTCCTGTAGTAATTTCCTGGCCCTTGTCTGCCTAGTATTATAATTATTTTGTTACATGCCTCATCTCTCCTACTAGTCATCAGGCATCTTGAGAGCAGTATCTATGCCAAAATTTATTAATGTTTTTCCCATTTAATATGGTATAACACGTTCCCCGTTATTATAAGTATTGTTATTTTGTTTTAAATCAATAAATGTAGGCAATAGCAAATTAACTGATACCTAATCTTCTTTGTAGAACTTCAAACAAACASAGTATCTATTATGTTTCTGAAACTTAGTTTTGCTTAACATAAGGGGAATGAACTGAATGGTCTCTCAAATTTTATGCAGACCTTGATTGTAGGAAGTGGAGGGGAACTACTTTAAGGGACAATTCAGAGATTTATTTGGCATTTAGTGGCTTGTTCATCAAGGGAGGAGAGAGATGTGGCCCTGACTCAGATGTTGCACAGATTCATATAGCTAAAGATGAGCGAGGCTCATTCACATTTCTAAACCTCAGTTTCTTCTTCCATTAATTGGAGCTTACATTTGATCATTTCAAAGGTCCTGTTCATATTATTTCCTACATCTCAAAGTTTGCACCTCCAGTTTGTGGCCTAAATTTTAAGCCTTTCTTTATATGTCCCTTTGGTTTCTATCGTTTTTTTTTTTTTTTTTTACTTTTATATTTTGTGTATGTGTCCATGTACAGATATTCAGAACATTTTATTGCAAATAGAGTCATAGCAAATCCAGTGCTGAATTTTCGGACTTCCTATGCGAACTTCCTGTGAAAACAATCTATATTCCAGTGTCTTCGTTATGACAAGTGGTCTCTTAGTTTCTTCAGTCATTTCTGGAGGTTCCCAGGGAAGTGGAGAGTCAGAGAGAGCCTATGGTGCCTTACGACATTTCCTGCTCCTGGAACTGTTTTGCCCTGTGTTCAGTTCTTCCTGCACTCTTCTGACAATGACCTGAGTGCTGATGCATTTCCTGCTCAACTGAGATTTAATTCAGGTGATGCCCTGGCAGATATCACCATTACCCTGGATCTCTCCTGGGGAGAGAAAACAATGAGACATGAAGGAATTTACACAGTTTTTAATGTTTTACTCTGGAGAATCAAGCAATCCCTCTGGTGCTTCCATGTCAGAATAAAATATTTTCTTAGCAGGAAAATAAATCCTGACTCAGGCCCTCTCAGGTATTAAATTTTAAATAGAAAATCTGCAGTGAASACTAGGCTGTCACACAGATATCTCCCAGCTGATGATTGTCAAGTTGTCCAAGTGTAAAGAGATGGGTGGCCCAGCCCAGCAGGGACTGAATTTCCCGAGTCCTTCTGATGTCATTATTTTCTGCACTGCTTTGGTTTCTATACTTACTAGGTTGTTTTTTTTAAAAAAGTGACATGGCTAAATGACTCRCAGATGTCACAGAACTAAACTCATTAGTGGCAGCCTCAGCACTCCTCCCCAGGTTTCTGCAGCCAGAGAATTTTTAGTTCCAAAGTTCTGTTTCCAGGAAACCCGGAGATTTCTCAGAATTTAATCACAGCAGCATTGAACCCAATGAAAAGTGCTACGGAAAAATCTCATTGGTGAGCATCAGAATGGGCAGAGTTTAAGTGAGCAAATCAGTTCCACGGCCATTGAGAGGGTGCTTCTGGAAACACAAAGGAAAGAGCTCAGCTCTGCTGTAAGCTTCTAAGACTCTTTCACACTTTGGGGGAGGGTATTTCTAGTAAGTCACACACTAGATCTTCTCACCCAGCCTTGTTTTACATGTTCTTCTAAAGTTTTAGATTATTAAAGGTATACAGTGTTTACTTTTCCTGTCTTTCTCTATGACCTTCTTATCCCCCCAGTTCCCCTTTCCCCTCCCTGTTTCAGGTAAGGTATCATGAGGAGGAGCCTGGTCCTCCAAGCTAAGCACCGTGCTCCTCCCAGCTAAGCACTGTGCTCCTCCAAGCTAAGCACTGTGCTCCTCCAAGCTAAGCACTGTGCTCCTCCCAGCTAAGCACTCTGCTCCTACCAGCTAAGCACTCTGCTCCTGTGAGGGCCTCTGTTGTCATGAGGGCTCTGCTTAATACCTTCATGAGGCTCTTCCCTCAGGGAATGGTGCTATGGGGATGTGCTGTGTGCTGAACTGAGCAGAGGCGTCTCCCTTTATATAACACTTCTCATCTGGAAGTTTAATGAGAATCATTCAGTATAAAATACAACTCATACTGATGCTTTGTACTTTTAAATTTCCCTTTATTCCCTGTCTCCAAACTCAAATCTTTGGCTTCCCTTTACCTAGGGCCTGGTGACTAAGCACCTAAGGCATGTCCTGTAGGTGCTCATGGTTTGTTCTCCTACCTGCTTAGGGTCCTGAGTGGATGCTGCACTTCCAGGCTTTCTGCAGTCCCAGATGTCCCTCTGGCCATAACACCAACACCTGTGGTGACTATGCACCATAGACCCCCGGTACTGTGCTGGAGGTATGCTGGGCCAGTCACCAGGTGTAGGCATGAGGGAGTGAACTGCTGGGGTCATTCCCTTCCCTGGGTCATTCCCTTCTGTCCCTCCCAGAAGGAACCAATTCCTGTTTTATCTTTTGGCTGTACAGATTTCTAATCGGACTACAGATGTGTGTGGCTACTAGAGTGCATAGAACTACTTTGTGGGTGTGTGGTGTCTGCCTCTGTACCTGTTCTGTGATCAATGACTTTTCCTGCCAACCTGGTTTCTGACTGCTCCACACTCCTCCGAGGGAAAGGAGCTGGAGTGGGCTGAAGGCACCCTGGCCTTTTCTTTCCCCTGGGCCTTTTCTTCTGTCACACCATACTCTGTTAAATGTCTTACTCAAGCTGACTCTACCTTCTTTTTGTGTTCTTTTAATTCTTGATGCCCCCCCGTATTAAATCATTTTAATTTCTAATTTTGGCCTTGAAAATTAATACAAGGTCACATTTTCTCTGCAATTATTTGAGAATAGGTAAAGTGATGTTACTGAAAAACCTAAGAAATGCAGTTTAATTACTTTCAAGCATAGAAACATGCCTGAGGGAAGAAGGGCAGAGCTTTATGTCTTAGAGAGTCTGCTACTTCGTAATATCAGACATGAATTATTTAAAATTAACATGTTTGTTTAAATGTAGTGCTAAAGGCGTTTACYATGAGGTCAGTAGTAATTCTTTACAAAATTAATTTGCTCAGTGAAATTCTATTTATTTTCCTGGATATTGATAACCTCTCATTTCATGGTCTTTGTATGGCCTTTCTTTTAAAATTATCCATAGCAAAGATGGCTATAAACAGGCCTTTTCCTTCTTTTATTACAAGTATATTGTTTTCCTACATGTGCAAGAGACACCATGAGTGGAGATGGACTGGGGCTACCTCCCCTCTTTAGGGAAATACCATATGATGATGACAGATATTGGGGGCTTGAAGGAATTTATAATCTTATATTGGAAATGATTATTTATTCAAATACTACCAGGGAAGATATTTATTTAGGGAAGATATTATTCAAATTCTATTTGGAAAAACACCAGGTATGGGGGAGGAAGAAGAGGAGGAATRGCTGTGCTGAGATTTTGTGACTGGTGGAAGGAACTGGCTTTTTTTGCACTTGACCAGAATTCTTAATTATATGTTTTTGCAGTGTTTGAGGGGGAAAAAAATAGAGATAACTACATATAGTCTCACCATCACCCATCCTGATTCTTTCCCTAGGTAGTAGTTACTTTTCTGTCCTCCAGTAGATGTCTCCATATCACACTTTCCATTGCCACTTCCTGACTTCTCCAGTTCAAATAAACATGAAGGAGCTAAGAGTCGGAAGGGAGTGTAATTGCCAAGATCTTTATCCACTGTGGTCAGAATATAACTTTGACCTTTGCAAATGCCTGCTTTSAGACTATTCTTAGATGGCTTTCTCAGGACATGTTCTGGTTTATATTAAAGCCCTTAACTATTTTCTTTTCATTTGCAAACCCCTGTTTATTTTCTCTGCTTGAACCCAGGTTTCCTTACCTAGGGCCACCACCGTTTTCTTCTAGTGATTAAAAGTGATAAATTATAATACATTCAGAAAACATATTAATGAAATACCTGCTGTGTGCTCACATGAGAGGTGTGGGCAGGTAGAGCAGGAGAGAAGTTCTTCTCCTGGTAACTGGGGGTGGAGCTGGTGCAGTGTCTTTTCAGCTGACATTTTCCCAGTTTGTCATTAAGTCTGCTCTTGGCACACTTTCCTCCCTTATTTACTATTTTGATACACAGACAAATTTTTCTTTAGTATTATGTTGTAACTACTGAATATTAATGTTTTTATTGTTTTTTTTAGTTATCCATGACAGTAGAATCCATTTGGACATAATTATAAGAGCATGGAATRTATCTTGTTCTAATTCAGCCCCCAGCACCTCTTCTTCCCCTCCTCCTGCTCCCTTCCTTCTACTGTACTCATCTGAAAATCAATATTTTGGCATCTCTTCCTAGGAAAGAACCCAGTACATTAAGACCTGTTTGTCTTAAATGTAAGACAATGTAAGATGATAAGGGATACCTGCTATTTAATAAATTTATATTTTAACTTTCATTTTATGAAGATAGGTTYTTTGTTACTCCTAGACAACCATAAGAAATCTGGTGAGTATATTGGTGACATGTCTTTGGGAATAGTTTTTATCTTTTGGAATAGATTTTATCTAGAAGTGAATTTCAGAAGGTTTTTTAAAAGAAAGCTTTATAGTTATGTTTTAGTGAATGCGAACCATTTGAGAGCTACAGAGCGACATCTGCCATACTTTACATTTTCCCAAATGATGCCACATGCTTTATGTTTTAGTAGATAATGAAGCAATAAGATCAAACCCAGGTGTTGTTGTTTTCCTCAAACCTGCTAGTGTTTCCGTAAGTTTGGTATTGATCATCTGTGACATCAAAAATCCTCACCTGGCTTAAAAAAATAATAATTCTCTCAGACTGGAGCTCAGTGGGAGGGGGCTTACCCTAGCACGGAGAGCCCTGAGATCAAACCCTAGTACTACACTACACTACACACACACACACACACACACACACACACTGTCTTTAACAAACCAAGTTGTTATGTGCACATACCAATTATAATAGCAAAACTATTAAAATATAAAGTATTTTTAAAACTTTTATTAGATATTTAGCAGTGGGTTAGAGTCTAAATTTGATTTAGTGGTAATGCAGTTTTTTCTGTTATAGTTTCATGCTGATTTAGTCTCATCTGCATTGGGTTTTTACCTGTGAGCATTTGCCATAACTTCTGGCAAGAATTATTTTTCAAAGAAATGTTTTTTATTCCCCGAAAGGTTTTCTTTTCCCACCAAGGTTTTCTTTTCTCRCCGTCTACTACAGCCCTATTTAAAACCATCACTTCAAACTGTCATTTGAGGGTCCTCTTCGCTATTGATAACGCTCTGCTTTATTCTTCTTTCCTTAGTGATACAAATGAAGTTGACATACCACCCAACACTCGTGTTGGCACCAAGCGCTACATGCCTCCAGAGGTGTTGGACGAGAGCTTGAATAGAAACCACTTTCAGTCTTACATCATGGCTGATATGTACAGYTTTGGACTCATCCTTTGGGAGGTTGCTCGGAGATGTGTTTCAGGAGGTAAGAAACCATGATGTCTCTGAAAAGTTACTATGGGAGTTACTGCAAATTCTTTCTTGCTGATCAGAAATCAAAGTCATATTGTCTACAGAATCAGGTTTTCTTTTATTTCCCTTTTTAARCAGAAGTTTATGTGTCACAGTCTTTCCAGGGAATGATATTTGACAGAGTAATCTYTGCCTCCTTCCCTCCATCTGCTGTTGAAGAATCTCTTCCAAACACTCTGTTAACTTCTCCTATCTCCTCAAAGAATATCTTCTGCTGCTCTGTGTATTGTTTCATTTCTCTTTTGGGCTTTTCCTCCAGAAGTTCTCTTTCATGTCAATACTCTTTCCTACAAGCCTTTTCTCACCTACCTGACAGCCCCTTCTCCAACCCCACTCTCCCATCCCCTGTGCTTCCTCTGCAGAGATTACTRTGGAGACATAACCCCTGGGTGGGACATCCATTCATTAACTCTCTATTTCTTTATTTTCTATAAAACTTCTTGTAAACTAATTTTTAAACATTGATTTTTAGCAAAAGGAAATTAAARCATCAGAATATTGTTATTGTTTATGATAATTTTTCTACAAGCATAGGGATTCCCTAAAAGACCAACTATAGTTGATATCAAAAAGATATCCTTAAATATTCAGAAGTATTATTGGTTGTACTGTTTTCGTTTACTGCTACCGTATCATCTTCTAGAAGATTCTGATTCCTTTTAGGTAAAGAGTGTTATCCTCTTCTGAGTCAAGTACAAAATATACACTGTAAATTATTCTGCACATGGTTGTGCTCCTGAAAAAAAGGTTGATGCTGCTGTGGTTCCTCTACATGGCCAATTTAAATGCTTCATGTAATCATGAACTTGCTCCAAGTTGTGAAAGTACATATAACTATTACTGGGAATTGTTCCTTTACCTGCTCTTTATTATCTGGGACATCTTGGGAAAGTTGCTAAACTTTTCTTTGATTCAGTGTTTTATTAAAAATGAGGCATATTATTGTATGTAACTCAGACAGTTGTGATGTTTCAATGTGTAAAGAGAATTAAAACCGCCTGGCACATAAATGGCACTCTATTAGCAATACATACTATTAATTTTCTTTTKGGTTGGTGGAGCCATAATACATGCAGATTTGTATTTAAATTAMATAAAAGCAAGAAACAGTTAATGGATAAACATTCATACATATAGATRTAGAAAGATCACCTTCAATAATGCAGTGCCTTCTAATCACCTTGGGAATTCTGAGCCTTTTATAAGCAATTTGAAATAGAACTCATTCCCTTTGAAATGAGAAAACTGTTTGTACAAAGGAAAGTGAATACAAGAAATTTACTGTAACGAGCTATTGACTAAATCTCCTGTTGTAAGTATGAAGAAGAAGAGAAGTAGCCAAAACATAAATAGATTAATTGCTTTTGCCTTGATTTCATGCTGTGTAAGTAGGAGGGGAATTTATTTTTGAATAATCTGCTTGCACTGAACTAGAATAGTTTTATAGATGTTAAAGGTATAGTAGAGTACAAGATGACTTTCTACTTTTGTTTTCCTGAACATCTAAAGCAAATAGGTCTACAAACTAGAAGTCTAGGTTTGAAAAGCCTTATGTCAAATAGAGAAGAAATGATCCCCAGCTTTAGAAACAAACTAGTTTTATGTGCACAGCAGGGTCTTAATTGCTTTGCCTGGGTTGTCTTTGCAGGTAGAGGTTTGAGAAATATCCCTGCAGGAGATCGACTTGTTTCTCAGAGGAAAAAGTCCCTGCTCTGCCTCAGGCCAACTGCATGGCCTTGAGCAAGTTTTTTAAGCCCTGGGAACCAAGTTTCCTCTTTGTGTGTAGTAATCTTTTCTCATGAATGTGTTTGTGAGAATTTAATCAGACGAATTATATAGCATACCTACCTGCATGCTTGGTCTAAGTGGGCTCTCAAAAAATGTGTTTCTTTTCTCTTTTCCAGAGAGGCAAAGCACAGTAATTTTTGTTCTGTAACATTTTGAAGTTTTATGAAGATATTGGAAGACTGGGGAGTTTGTCTTTCTAGTTCAGGAAATCTGGGGTGAAGRAGACATAACCAGATGTAGGCCTTTCAAACTTGAGAAGAAAGTGGTGGGGAAAGAGAAAATAAACCACAAAATTAAATGGCAGCTCACATGGAAATTTTGATAACTTGGTTACATGATAAARAGAAAGAAGTAAGGTCTATGGTTCAAAGCCAGAATTTGATTGACTCATAATTTTGTATGATTGGTTCTGCTGGTGTCTATTGTAGTTTATATTCCTGCCTCACCATCCATCCATCCATCCATCAATTCATCCAAGCAATGGCACCACCATTGGACACTGAGGGAAGTGTGAGATGAATCAAGTAATTCTGGTGGTTGCCCTCAAGATGTTTGCAGGACCATTGTCTTCATAGTCATAAAGGGAGGAAAAATTGAAAAGAAGCTGATCTCCTATGTGTCTGACCCTGTGCCTTTATTATCTTTTATGCTGAGATGATAAAGAAGCACCGGGAAGGAAATAGAAACATAGTTAATGCATGTAAGAGGCTTAGTTGTCACAGCAGGGGGGCACAAATGATGAACAAATGGTGGGTTGGAATGGTCTTTTATGATTTTGAATGGGTTTGATATTACACAAAAGAGCGTAACACACACCCAGGTTTTGCCACAGTGAACCTCCAGTGGATTTTCTGATGTGGYGTAAAATCTGCCAAGTTGATGGTTTCATCTTTGTCAGGTGAAAAGCAGTAGCATTTCTATAAAAGGTGATTTAGGATAGGGRGCAACGGTGCTCTGGAAAGATTTTTCAGAAGAGAATCCATTCATCCTCTGAGACCAGGAGCTGCTTAGCATTATTGTGAGGAGTTCATCAGATAAYGTTAAAAGAAAGACACCAGTAGCCTTTTTTAAAGGACAGATTGAAAAAAGTAAAAATTACTTATTAGGAAAGATAAAATAGAGGAGTATATACAGAAAAAAAATAAAGAGAAAATAAAAATTAGACAATCTTTAAACCTAAAAAATATGGTTAAGATTTTCAGTATATATACAACTTTCCAAATATTTAATGTGCAGAAAACCCCATTCTTATGATTAAGCAGAAAAAAATATGTCTGACATTTTGCAACCAAACTTATGATATTCCTAATTTCAAATTACAGTAATAGAAACAGTCACATATTATGTAGTATGAATTCAAGATGTGTTTTTCAAATTTGCATTGATTTAATATAAATGTCTTAAAGATTTGGTCTTTATAAAATTGGAAATTTTGATATGTTCATTTCACTTAGCATTTGGAAGTTAGAAAAAAATARCAAAATAGCTTGAAGATCTATGAAAGTATTTTCTTCTGGGTGTTTTAWTTTTTKKWARKTWRG